ACCTAGTTTTTACAAAGCAGGTTGGGGTGACCTGCCCACTACATAACAAATTAAATAGATAAAAACGTTTCCTTAAAGGTGCAAAGATCATGTAAATCTGTCCACTCTCATCAAGATTGTCCTTGAGATACACCTCTGCTGACCCGTGAATCCTTGAACTTCTGTCACTTGACATATCATCACAATTTTGAACCTGAATAATAATCTGATAAGATTAGTGCATGACGATGTGGCATCACCCCTATGGTGAGTATGATGTCATGCACTAAATGATTTTAATTAGAGGTGGAACAAATAGTTGATACTGTGACATACGGTGTCACGATGTAGCCTCTTGAAACACATTAATATTGAGGTACCAGCTATTTTTTTCAATTTCCCTATGTTGCTTTTAAACTTTTTTATATTTCCCTGTTGCTTTTATGTTTTATGTAAAGTACTTTGACTTGTTGTTGAAATGTGCTATACAAATAAACTTGCCTTGCCTATTCACTGGCAAAATACCACAACGTAAACTAGAACAGTACACGTTTACGTTTTACTGGAATGTCCTAACAGTAATAATAACAGACTTTAAAAGGCCAAAAATACCACTGCTCTCAGTTTCACTCTAAAATGAGAGTGTAAGCAATGCTGGTGAAAGTAGGCCAGGTCAACTTCTCCAACACAGATCTTAATATTACATCATATATCCCTCCCCTTCTCCACAGTAGTCAGTTACCCTTTAACTAACATCATGGCTACAGCCCATAATCATCCTACACAATCTCGCTCCCTGCTAGCTTGACTGTGTTCGGTCATATTCACACAAAGCCAACAACACCAAGCTTTTACAGAGGGCTGACATGAGGGCCTATTATGCTGTCGAGAGCTGATGAACCTAAATGTAACGTCGGCTAACGTTAGCTCTGTGACAATATGGTTCGTGGGGATCAGCCATTGATCCAGACTAAGCAGAATGTGTGCGCCAGAGAACTTAATGTTATGCTTGTTTTAGTCAAGAGAAACGTTTTGTCATTAAGGTTACATGACATGACACAAACTTCTGGCGGCTGTATATATTTATACAAGTCTGGCAAACCACTAGCCACGTTAGCAGAACAATGTCACGAGGTGGAGGGTTAGTTAGCTACTAACTTAGGCACAACTTGTTTATCCGCTAGCTGTGTTAAATCCAGCAGTGTGAAGTCAGCCAGGTGCCACATCACAGCGTAATGCTGACGCTAGCTAGCTAATGCAGTGTGCTGTAACCAATATGTGCTGTAACTGATATAAACCTTGGGTAACGTTTGTCAGACAGTTTGTTAGTTTTCACAGCCAATGTCTGTAAATGATATATTAATAATAATACTAAGGCAAATTTACTCAACTTACCGACAGACTACAACTAACGTTATCGTTACACATAGCCACACTGACACAACTCGCCCTAACAGTGGTGTCATCTTCATCCCTCTCCTGCCGGGACAGACATCCTCGCCGTAGTCAGAAATAGCGTTTTATCCTTTTAGCCAGCGGTCTCTTGAGCTATGTAGAACATAAAATCACCCGCAGTTTCCTGTTAACTAAGCTAACGTTCCCCGTTGTACGGGTGAAGTGTGTTGCTAGCCGCTGTCACCCACACGCAACCTGCTGCTGACTGTGGGTGTTCAACTGTCCAATGAAAAGGCACAGAGGCTGTTGCGCAGTTCAAACTGAGCATGTGTTGGTTGGGAGCGCTCATTTCGTAGCCTCTGGCCGCTCGGGTGGGTGGAGGTAGGGTTTCTCTCGTTTGGTGTTTGATGGATGTGTCAGATGTGTTACCCAATGAGCATCGACGTATAAATATAAATATATATATAAACCTATGATATTTATCCCCCACCGTCTTGGAGGGTTTTGAAGGACTGTGTAACAAAAAATTACATAGGCTACTGTATGCTCTGTAAAAGGAGATTGATTGGCTACCCTTCTTTAATACAGTCTATGGAAATGCCTATATTTGATATCTGAATGCAACAATTTGTAAAGCAACATACATTGCGCAAATTAGTATTTGTTGCATCCGTTTGTTACAAAAAAAGTATCAACCTTTTTCTCAACAGATTGCAACAGGAAGCTAATGCATTCACTTGAGAGGGAAAAATCTGTTGTTTTTATCAAGGGTGTCACTTTGTGTTGAAAACATAAATGCTCACATTAACGATGTGACGATACAAGTGTGTCACAAGACTTGACGACTTGTCAAAAACAAAATGCGAAGATTTTAACACTATTTTGAAGAAATATGAAATGCTGAAACATACTATGAGTGGGGGGTCTGACGTCCTCCCCCAGAAGTTTTTGAGCTAAGGGTCCGTGTCCACCAAAGCTTTTTTCAATTCATTCCAATGGGAGCGCCGCGTTTTTACTAGCTGGTAAAAAGGCCAGGAGCGTGACGAGGCGCTGAGGTGACAATTCATAAATATAAAAATATAACAGAATACAAGACTGTAATCAGCTGCTTGTTTTTTGTTTTTTTTTAGCTTAAGCTTGAATGTTTTCTTATTGTGCAATTAAACCTTTCTTAAAGCATTTTCAACATTTTTAACAAATGCTTTCAAAAAGTGATTGGGACAAAATCAGCCATTTCAAATGTACCCAGTGTCTCCAGTGTAAATGACAGCTATGATTTTATTATTAGAGATACCTAAAAATCTCAATAAGTAAAAACAAACGTTAGGCCACAGTTGCTGATGCTAAGTGTATGATTTCAACAGGGTCACTTAACTAATAACAATACCATCTATTAGTCCTACTTAAAGACAGGAGCATTTCCTCAAACCCAAGCCAAAATAACAGTGGATTAAGCTAAACGGGCAGGACATGTTTGTATCTATGAAATCCGGCTAAAGGAGATAATCTTTTGAGATTAAAAATTAATTCTAAACATTAATTCTAAGCATGTAATGTGTAAATGTAATGTTAATTCATAAAAAGAGAACAACATGTTTTTGTCACCATGAAAACACATCTCACATCTCGTGATTTTTTTTTTCTCATGTGAATGCATTGCCTTCTGTAGAACGCCATGTGTGTTATTTCGGCTGTGGGGATTCACTTTCACTTTCCACAGAACAGGAATCCTGCAGGACAAGATGTAGACTACAGCCTCAAACGTTTTCTTTGAGACAGTAAATGTATGTTTATGCTGGGGTCACTAGAGGGAGCCCTCTGCTCAACTCATTTGCCAGGCGTCAAAAACATGATTTGAAACCACCAAAGGTCACACTCTCATGCATGATCACACCAGAGCAGGACAACTTTCACCACATTTCATGTGAGCAGTCCTAATAGAATATATATATATTTTGGGCACAGATACAACATTTAACATGTAAATGCTCCGTACTTGTATAGCGCCTTTCTAGTCTTTTCGACCACTCAAAGCACTCATCTGCATTCACCAGTCATACACTGAGTGCACAGTGCCTAAGTGCTCAAACGGAAACTAGCATTCACACACATTCATACACTGGCGGAATAGCCGCCAGGGGCAAATCAGGGTTCAGGACACTTCGACACGCAACCAGGGGAGATTGAACCGTCGACCTTCCGATTAACGGCCAACCCGCTCTATCTCCTGAGCCACAGCCGCCCCCATGTCACCTGTTGTGAAATGGTACTTTGATTCCTCAATAATACCATTGGTTTAATGTTTTAAAAAGAGGTTTCTTTGACTTCCATAGTATGCAACATGCAAAGTATTACTAAAAAAAGCCATCATGACAAACATCAGTTTAGATATCTATTGATTTGAATAGCAGAAAAAGTATTTACTTAATTTGTACCAGCAGTCAAGGGTTTGATCCCCAGTACATTAAATAGCCTACTGTGTTAGTTTCAGACATCACATTGTTTATGGCTGTTCTAGTGTCATTTTATTTACTTTTTTATTAAATAGTGAGCAGTTTTTGCAGTGGAGCAGTGGAGGCAAACATCATTCAGTCATTTAGGTTTTGGACATTGGAAGACGTTAATCATGTTTAGGTTTTAAGTAAATACATTTTCACCATAAGGAACAACATATATTTATGATAGATCATAATCATAGATATTCGGGATGAGGGAGTTTAGGAACCTGATGCCTTTTTGTATTGATGTATGGAATACTATAGGCAATAGATTTAAGATTTAAGTTCTATAATACACAAGGGACATGATTTTTATAATATAGTACCACTTCATGTAGCTTGAAGTCACAGAATGTTTTGGGAAAGTTTCTGTGTCTATCTAGATGCAGATATAGATCATCTCTATTCCAGAAGACTACTATTACTTGACTGATACTTTCCAATGTACACTATGACATACTGAACAATAGCCAATGTTATAATTCAGACATGCTGTCAAAAAACATATAAAATGACTAAAGCTATAGGCTTATCAAGAAAGATAAATAAATATAATATATAAATAAGCATTGCAATTTTTTAAAGATAAAATGAATTTGTGTTCCTTGAACCACTGCTTACAGTTTTGTTACAGAAACCAACATGTTTGGATGTTGAACGCCTGTATATAGGCCTCCTACACTGCCTCACAGTGATTAAAATGATGTATTAGTGCCTTCTTTTGGCTAATAAATGAAAATACCATTAGTAATATACAAAGGCTTTGGATTCAATATAAAGTTGGTGATCTTGAAGAAGTAATTCTATTGAATGTGGTAATATTAATATATTGATACCACTTTAGTTTATTTTCTGTTCTGCATGGTATTCTACATTTTTGCTGTAATAATCGCACAATAGGCTATCACATTTGCTATAAAATGACTATAGTTATTTGTTTTGTGGGCATGGGAGACAATTTACCCACCAAGAATACATCAAGTTTTGGTATATATCAATAAATAAGCAAACAAGACCGAGCACAGTAGTAAACAACATATTATTTTGCTGCACTTCAGAAAGAGGTGTGCATAAATATATATATATATATATATACCATCCATTCCCAAAACTCTGTTGACAAAGTGAGACATTGTGAGGAAGAAGTTTATTGAGGAGCGATACAGAGACACGGAAAATAACAACTGATGCAATTCCCCATTTTAACATTATGCCCTCTGCTAAACAATGCTATCTCACTACAACTGGAATCATTTCATTATTGGTCTTCAGCAGATTTAATTTTTTTTCAACTTCCCAATTCTCTTTCAACATTTAGCTTTGGCAATACAGAATTGTAATCCATGCCAGTAAGGCAGTCTAAATTAGAGAGAAGAGAGCATTTAGTGAATAGAGACACAGAGAACGATTAAAGCGCTAGGATCCTTGATGAGGTCTTTATAGTCCACATGAACAGTATCTCCTTATCATTTTATACACCAGAACACAGTTTAGGCCCACATACACAATAACAAACTGACAGAGAAGCACTTGAACATTGACAATACCACCTTAAGCTCTGACACAGATGCCGACTCACTGACTGGCTTGAGTGAGAGAAGAGGACATGAAAGAGGCTAGAAGGGTTGAAAAAAGAGAAAGAGTGCTAGTTTGTGATGTGCATGGAGTTGCATGTTTCAAACCTGAGAAAAAGGCTAAATGGAAACATGTAAATGCATGTTCTTTGTTCATTCAAGAAGGAACTTGTGTTTTGCCATGTTATTTGTTGAATTCTTTGAGTTCCATCTCATCAGTCAGCATCTGAATCTGAGCTTAAGGCTGCAAGGGTCACAACTTGACCATTGATACAGCACAGGTAGACACCTATGACAGGGTTAAATGCATTATTGAGGCTGTTTCCATATAGAGAATACTGAAGGTGCTCCTCAGCCTTGCTATGTGTGTATGACTGCTACTACAACACAGGAACAACTCACAAAAGTCCAACATGAAATTTACCCCCAAGGGTTTTATGATTCATCGTTAACAGCTTTGACCAAGAAAACAAATACAACTGAAACGCCAACAAACGTGCAGACGGACAATACATGCACACGTTTCCTCACACGCTCTCTTACAAACATAAACAGAATTACTCGCACGCAAACACGCACGCTCGTACACACACATACTAAGATACAACTTGTGTTCCTAAGAGAACATTAAGCTGATAATTAACACTTAATCTTAAACTCTGCACAGGGGGGCATTATACAATAAATTAATACAATACTAAATCAAACTCAGCCTACATATAGGCAAATTAGTCCCTCCCCTGTATACATACACACAAAACCCACGCACGCACACACGCTACATACACGCACTCCCATGCAATAAAAGCAGCTTATGTGCCATGCTGCATTTTGGAATGAGTAGGGCAGTACGACTGCTGAGCGTATTTTATGTAGAAGCAGCAAGTGGGGGTAGTGGCTGATTTGGTGAGGGGTTTGTGGGGGGGGTTTTAAGAGGTTCCAGGGACTGATATTAGGTAGTGGATCTGCTAAGCAAACCTGGACCAAAGGCGAGCAACAAGCACACATACACATACTGCACAAGACAAGTACCATACTGTACATAGATATATGGACATCTTCACCTGGCAGGAAATCGAGGGTCAAGGGGTCAAAGACGTCAGTGGCTGCACTAAGGAGAGACCAGGACAGCAGAGCCATGGCTAAGAGAGGAAGGATGAAGTGGATGGGGGAGGGAGATAAGTGTATGAGGAACCCGTTTACATGGTTATGGTGGGGCTTGTCTTGTAGGAGATGGCGGGGGCCGCCGGCTTGGAAAAATGAGAAGAGAATAAGACAAAAGAAGACAAGAAAAGAGAGGAAATTAGTCTAGCATACATAAAGGAAAATGAATGTCCTCAAAGTACAAAATGGTAGAAACTGTCCCCCCCACACAGCCTGCTATATTGTTACACAGCTTAAGAGGGGAATCAGTGCTGATGATACATATGTCATCAGGGTCTGCCTGCTCAACTGTTGTGAACTGGCTTGCTATAGAAAATAGATTACATTTGAAAAGAATGAACTCTTGATTTAGTGGAAGATATGGAGCAGCTGTTCACAGCAACTGAGATTTGAGCAGACTGAGCTGGCTAGCTTGAGAATGATAAATATTGGCAACTTAATGTTGGCAAATACTACCACATGTTCTTTAGTTTTTTAATACTATTGTTACATTTTCAATTATATGTAAAAACATATAATTTATTTCTGATAAATAATCCAAATACACAGCATCTTCCCAACAGGTCTGTTATGTGAAGGCTACATTTACCTAGGGATGCTAGGAGGGGCCCTGTTAGGGCGGCTGGGAGCCTGAGGGCTATCAGCACTGTTATTGAAAGGCCCCAAGGGTCCTGGACGGTTCGGTGGTGGCGGGGCCCCTCGGGGAGCTGGGCGTTGGCCTGAAGACATCCTTCTAGGGGCAGTGGGGCTGGGTGGAGGAGACCTGTAGAAAGTAAAGTATATGGTATTGAATAAGGTTTAGGAAGTAAAGTTTTTTATTTAAAATGGTTACAGTATGCATGTAAATGATCAGTTCAATTCTAGTAACTTTACCTCCGACCACCACTGGATCCTCCCATCCAGGAGGTGTCAACAGGCGGAGGCATGGGGACAGTAATGGTGGACGTGGAGATATCACCGATGATGCCCAGGGCCTCCTTCAGGGCCTGGTGGGTTCTCAGCACCTCATCCCTCCTCTGGGCCTGCTCCTGGGACTCGTCCATCAGGGAGTTCTGGTCACCAGCAGAGTACAGCTGGGCCAACAGCTCTGCATTGATGAAGTCCTTCACCTATTGGCAGGAGGAGGTAGTGCATGATAATGAATCATTGTGAAGATGAAGACCTTCTAATGGCCATTTATTTCACACAAGGGTTATCGTGTCACTGTTATCATAAATTGTAGTAGTATCTTTAGTTCAATACAGTAACAACAAAGGAAAGCTATCCTAACGGCATATATAAATGAACATCTGAGTAATCTTTTCTTACGTTGTTAATCATGAGATGCATTATGGTCTTGGGCATGAGGTCACGAATGCACTTGTTGACAATAGCCATGTAGGAGTCCACCAAGTTACGGATGGTTTCTACTTTACGCTCCAGCTGAGGGTCCATGGAGAAGTTGTCTGTGGTGGTGGTGGTCTCACTCTCAACCTACAGAGAGACAAAGGAGAAAAGAATAAAGCGTGGCATGAGAAAAGAGGGGCCTACATTTACAAATATATTTTGGTGCATTGTATGAATCGATTTACATTATTTTCATAAACATTTTTCTGAAATAATGGCATATGAATGTTAGAAAATGTTTGTCATTTGCCAAATTAATTGGTAAATAATAACAAGTTAGGATCAGTCAGCATAGGGAAACCTATTAAGTAAAAGTACCAGCTGAATGGAGAATGAAAGAGTGTGCTTACCGTAACGGTCTTCTCAGGATAGACCCCGGCACGTAGGAGAGAAGATTTCCAGCTGTCCACATCATCCTGAGAGTCACAGGCCAACTCCAGAGTGCGATTGTCCTTGTACACATTCCTAAACACAGGAGACAATGCATTCATGGAAGTCACCTAATATTTTACACCACTGTGTGTCAAAATAAACAAAAGTGGAGGATTCTTTTTAATAAAATAAACATTGAAATGATGTAACTAATCAGTGCATGATGAATTACGTAGAGACATTTGGACAACGTTCCTCATAGTTACAAAAAGTGTTCAGCAAAATATATTAGTATTGACAGTGTGTGCTTTAATCCATGTGGGATATTTTTTTGTTTAACCTTTTTTTTTTAGGTTTCTAGCCAAGAAGTCTGCCATAATGACCATAAACTTTTTCAGGGCGCCCTTCAACAATTACAGTCAGTTCAGGACTGATTCTAAAGATTTTACGCAGATTCACAATGTTATTGATTGGTTACAGTCCTGTCAGGGCAATCAGCTATTTGTTTCCCTACATTATTATCATCAAATTTCTATTACAACATCAAGACACCAAGAAAAGTCTCTTTTCTAATAAATCCCTGTGATAATTCTCTGTACAATGTCTGGTACATTAAAATGTTATTTTACACTAGAAATGTATTTTGTTACATAGTGCAGGATTCCTTAAAACAAAATATAAATGACAATCGTGACATCATAAACTGAGCTGTAGCTCTATTAGAAACAATAGTTCCAGTTTGTCCTTGCCTGCAATCATGCATATATACTGTACAAAACACATAATACAAAACATATTTCAGCCGCTGCACCAGCACACAGGCCATGAACTCTCTGACTCCATCCACTGCATGGGATTGCTTTCAGAAGTCTGGTTTTATCTGCAGCCCCATGTGCTGCAAATAAAAACAAGTGCAGATTAAAAATTTAAGATCTCACAGCTGACCTTGACTCCGTGTTGAAAATACAGAATATGTGCTTGCTGGACATGAAACTCTTCTCCACATCGCGGACCTTCAGGTTGTCCAGAGGGAGCATGTACTTCTTCTCTTTCTCCTGTGAATGGGGAAAACAGAAGGTATGGATCGTGAGCACTTCCATGACTGATGCAATTTGCCCTGTTGTTATGTAATGAAATGTTGTGCAAGGGACTTGACACAAACAAATTGTACAAGATTATGCTCGCAAGAGAAAGGTGAAATCAGGTTTTTAAAGAAGTAGAGAGGGGGTAAGCAAAGAGAAAGGGGGCGACGGGAGGGAGGAGGAATGGGGGAGAAATGAGAGTGGGAGGTGGGTGGGGGGTGGAAGCAGAAAAAGAAAAGGGAGAAGGGGAGCACATGTGGAAGTCATTACAGTGTGGGTCAAGACACAGTCGTTCTTCACGGTGCGTCTTGCCAGTGAGAGCTGGTAGCTAAAGGCTGAGTAAACTCTCCAGCTGAAGTAAGGACAGGCAGATATATGTACGCACTGGAGGTCCAGAGAGCCCAAACACAATGTTCATCTTCTGAGGTAGAAGCTCAAGAACAGCTGTGACAGATTCAAAGAGGGCCTGTGACGGATGCTTAGGCTAAAGAAACTCTGCTCTTCATTTTTACACTCCATCCTAGCCCCCATCTTTCCTAACTCTCTCTGTCTTTTTTTTCTTTTATCCCTCCCCCTCTATATTTTTTCAATATTTTTTCTTTCCATTCCAGAGGGGCCCACTTCCTGCCGGATTTTTTTGAAGAAGGAGGGAGAGAGAGCCGAGGGAGAGAGATTAAATGACAGCCTGGCGTTAAAACTCAACATCTGGTAGTGCTTAGCAGCACACAGAGAACCAGGGAAGGAGGGAGAAGTTTAAGAGATGGAGGGTGAAGGAGGAGGAGAGACCAAGAAGAAGAAACACAAACGTGGATTTGCAAAAGATTTGCAGAAGAAAGCCCACTTCTGGTCTGAAGGTCCGGAACGTGGTGGTAGATGGTTGCAGGTAAGAATTAAAGAGGATGAGTAGAGAGGAAAACAGAGAAGACAAAAAAACTCTGCAGACTCTTCTGTGTTGTATTCCCCAAGGGGTCACTACAGACCATATATGGTCGCACGCGTCCCTCCCTCTTCCTCTCTCTTCCTCTCCCCTTCTCACTCACTCCCCCCCTCCGTCTCTCTCTTTCCCTCTTTTTTGTAATATCCCCTCCCTGAACGTGCAGCCAGTCTGTCCCAGTCGTCTGAGCGAATATGCCACGTCAAGGCTGGATACTCTTCATGGCCGGCATGACCAAAACGGACCGCGAGGGGACCTAGAACTCAAACGTCTACCAAAACAAATAAACACGGCAAGAGACGTGCACCAGAAAGCTGCAATCGTGGATGAGGCAAATCGCAGTTTTGAGGGGTTTTCGATAGACGGGATCCTTGCTGCCAAAATGGAGAGGGGCGAAGGGAGGGCACAGACGGCAGAGCGGCGAGCATCTGGAATGGCAGAAAACAGCACACAAGGCCTGGCTCTTAATTCCGGCTCCGTCCACCCAGTGTTCAGACTACCTGTTCATTGTCATACTGGTGTACAGTAGTCTGCACATTGGTTAGACTGGGCATGGACCCTCTTCTCTCAGTCTGTCTTTCTGTGTCACTCTCTCTGTCTCTCTGTTGGCATTTCAGGTCTCCAAGATGTGTGTTTTTTTTGCATCTGTTCCTTCCTTCTGGCTATTTTTAATCTATTTATAATCTGTATGTGATCTGTATGCATCTGTATTTTGTCCTAAGTGCATTCTAACACTCACCACTTCCTTTTCACTTCTTTTTGGAATAAACAAACCAATCACCAATTTTCAACACTAACTGCACATTTGACAACTTGGTAGAAAAATCAAGGTGTAAACAAAATCAAGATTTGAGTCAGAATGATTGAAGATTTAAAGCCAAAACACACAAAATAGGGAGCTAACATAATTTATAGCATGAATGTGTAAGTGTGCAGGCTGCTAGCCTAGTGCTCTGATGAAGATGTGGTCCACTGGAAGGAGGGGAGGAGGGAATGTGGCTGCAGAGCATCTAACACAGGCCAAAGGAACGAGAGCCAATCAATCAAGTGGAGTTTGAAAATACAGTCAGACACCTCCAGTGAAGTTATTTCAGTGGGTGGCCAAAATCGACTTGGAAGACTTAAGGCAAAGGACACCAATGTATACTAGATTTCTGGTGGTGTCAAATAACTGCAAAAAGCTGGTAGGAAAAGTGCTTTGCAGATGGTGTAAGAAGTACGTGAGCAAAAGTGTCATTGCACAAAGGATATATGTACACACAGGATGCTTGACATTTGAGAAGTCAGTTAAATTAGTTGTAGGCTATTTAGGTAAGCTCTTGCATGGTTTGTGGTGAAAGTGTAAAAAAGTCAAAGAGTGGACAACGTTTTCACCGCTGCATATGGAATATTACACCTTGTGTGGGGTCAAAATAGTGACTCAGTTTCATGAAGTGATAGCTGGTTAGGAAATTGAAGGTCAGAAACAGAAAGGGGGAGTTATTGATATTTAATAGAGGGATTTCTCTCCGCTGAAACATTGGAGCCTCATGTTTGGATTAAAAACTTGAGGATTTTCCTGCCAAGAATGTGAGCAGTTCCAAAGTAACTGCCAACCACACCAACAGAGGGAGGAGGGTGTGTGACTATGTGTATGTGCATCCGTGCGCGTGCATGTATATGTGACTATAGAAAGTTCACAAAGTGTAAAACAGAAATATACAAGGCAAAGCCACAGAGCCTATAATTTCCTATAATACCACACTAACGTATCAAATGACAATCTGTAGACCCAATGCTGTGTGGCCCATGTGCAGTCTGAGGGCTGAGTATGCTTTCAGATATTTTGGGTGTCTGTGAGTGAACATTTGGTTGGGATTGGGACTGTTCCAAATTTGCAAAGAAGAAGCGAATGCCTGAACTCCCAGTGGAAAGAGGTGGGGAGAGAAGAAAAAGGGAGAAAAGAGGGGAAACTCAGAGACAAAGGGAAAGATGAATGGAAAGAACGAGTGAATGACAGAACCATGGCTAAACTCCTCACATACGTAATTCATACAGTAAACTGCTCCATCAGGGTGGTGATCCACTCGCCAACAAAGGCTATACTCTCTCAAATAGGGAATTGGCCACAAAGTTAAGCTGACCTACATTAAAGTGGAACCACATATAAAAATCTAGTTTACAATCTAGGCTGGGCAGAACCCTGTTGTTTATCAGTTTGTCTTTTTGCACAAATACAAATTCTACTCTGTATTTCTCTTGGAACTGTACCCTGGCAAGAAACTAAGCAAGGTCTAGTAAACAAACAACAATGCAGCAGCAACAATTAACTGGCTGAAGGAGTTGCAGTGTGTCTGCCTATCTACACTTGCTGTGCAGAATATCCTCCAACCTGTACAGCAGGCACAGACAGGCAGATAGACATCAGCCCGCCAAATAAGCCAGAAGGACGGACCAAATGCTGCATCCTGTCAATGCGCAGTGGTGGGTGAAAAATGTGAGCTTTTCTTCTGAAAACCAGTGTTCCGTTATTATGTTGTATTATCAATGATAATGGAAATAAAAACAATAAACTTCTGATTTAAAAAAAGAGCATTCACGAGTCATTTATCCACCAATTGTATATATTAAGTTAGTTGCTGGTTTCAGCTAAAGACATTAAGAGAAATTCCACAGTTCTCACATTTTCTCAACCATTTTCACACTCCGTCCCACCTAGGACACTTACAGCTGAAATATGGAAAATATGAAATATATATCTCTTTAGGTGCTAAATATTCCTTCTAAAGTAACTTTGTCTCTGTGCTATTTGGTGCTGAGCAGGTATATATAGTGGGTTTTCAAAGCTTTTTGGCCCAAAACGATCCTATAAAAGTGAACTAAACTGAACTAAAATAATATAGTTTTCTGGCCGGAAAAAAAACAAAACAATGAGCTGAAAGACACTACAACGGTCCATAAAGCTGAGGGAGAGCAGAATCTGGTGACAATTCTCTGTAGGTGTGTCATTAGGAGGGACCCCTTTCAGTCAGAGTCATTTGATCCACTGTTATAATAAAACATATTGATAATAGCTGCTTTAAACTCACCTCATCATCCTTGAACCAGGAGAGGCTCTCAGCAGTCAGCACAAACCAGTACTCCTTGGCTCCTCCCTTCATGATACTGATGTTGTTAATGGTCAACCAGCCTTTGCGAATGACCTAAGGGGAGGGTAAGGTCAGAAAGTCAGAAATAGCTGTAATGTTGTAAAAAAAAAAAAGTGAGTAAATTAAAACCTTACACACAAAAAAAATAAGAAAACAAGAGGATGACAGGAGCTCTTCATCCATAATAATTTACTCCCCTCTAAATCAATCCGTAGAACATTGCTAAAGCTAGCACAAATTAATCTGTGAAAGTTATCAATGCATGAATTGCAATGAAATGTGTGTGAAGGTCAGGTTAGGTGTGTCATTGTGTCTTCGTGACTCACTCAGAGCCTAGCGTGTGACTGTGGGTCAGTGCAGTCTCTGTCAAAGAACTGTGTTCACAATGCCACAAGCAGGGGCCCGTGTTAGCGTGTTAAGTGACCATTGTGTTAAGTGCTTCGAGCACACAACAAAGCATGTGTGTGTCAACTGTGTTAGGTGCATTAACCCCACAAGCCCTACATAAACAGGCCTGTGGGCACAGTGCCAAGTGATTATTAGGTTAGATTACGGTCACTCTTGCACCGCCTAAGACTCACTAAGGAGGTTACCCAAATCATTACAAAGCCTTATTTATAGTCATATGCACAAATTAGAGGGCTGGATACATGGCGGGATACAAATAGAAATCATTTTTCTAACACTTTTAGTCTTAGAGATGATATTTGAACTGCCAAACCAAATAAAATTTTAATTTCTATTTTCTATCTAGTTGGCAACCCCTTGTAGTCTGCGGACGTTGGTGGGTAGAGGGGGTGTTAGAAAGTAAATGGTTAGATAGTAAACTCTTACAATCAGGCCTGATGCGGGAGGAGAAGAGGCCTGCAACAGGAAGGAATGTGGGGGATTTAGAAAACCTTGTGGCACTGAAAAAATGGCAACTTTCTAGTGCAATTTGTGTTAAAGAAAATGCCTCTGCCCAACAGTAGCTTACACATCCAATTAGCCACCTGTCAGAGTGGAAAACGGGAAAATGACAGGTTCTAATGCAGCTGGAGAGCTGGAGAGCACCACACAATGGGCAGAAGTGTTACTGCAGGCACAAATGACATTGCACACCATAACCCACAATGAGCGATACTCACCAACAGACACCCATAACAGGGCAGCTGAGATTCTCACTAAGGGATGGGGATGAAATGCAAAGTGGCACCTTGATGACACAGGAGGGGTTCAAACAAAGGGAAATGTCTCAACAACAACACCAGTGATGATGGTGGCATAAAGTAATATAACCCAATGTGATTCTTTTACTGAGATAAAATCATAAAACCAAAGAAGCAAACAAACCACTGTACACAACTATAACTAGTGCTCCACTAAACATAATAAAGCATGCATGACAAATAATATAATAATATTCAAATGAAAAAAGGCTAAAATGTAACGTAAAATGTGATTTTTGATTTCAGCATCTCTCTTTTTTTATTCCCTGCAGTAGCCATCCTGCTGCTGTGTGGGGGTGCTTGACCTTGTGCTCGTGCTGTTTGCGTGTGACATACAAGACGTGACAAATGCTCACCTGATTTCCTGCTGAACTCTGGCTCTTATTAGTCTGACTGCTCCTCTGCTGTGCACTGCGGTGGAGAAACAACAAAACAGAGATGGCAGCAGAGACAAAATGATGGGGGAGAGAAGAGTGAATGTAGAGGAGAGAAGGACATGACAGGGGAGATTTTCTAAACATTTGTTTTCACCAGCCTGACATGTATAATCATAAATAATTTGTCATGGTGGAGCGGAACTAATAGACGTGTTTTTACTTAGCAAAGCCAATGAAGTCTTCGTGGTTAGTGTTGATGTAAGAGAGCTGGATGTCTATCAACAGCAGAACCTGTAACAACACAAACCATTTAACATGAAGTGAGTGTAACTCATTCTTAAAGGAATACAGCAGTTATACATTTTGTTATACATTTAGTTATACATTATACACCTTGTTTTCATGCCGAGAGTTATATGATTGAATTATAATTATAAGATTAATTCCTGTCCATACAGTAAATATGTAGCTGTGGCCAGCAGCCAGTTAGCTGATTAGCATAGAGACTGGGAGCAGTGGATATCAGCTAGCAAGTGTTGATGAGTGAGCTTTAGAGGTGCTGGTATTTGGATTTTGTTATCTTCGGACAGAACCAGGCTAGCTGTTTCCCCTAATTTTCAGTTTTTGTGCTAAGCAAACCAGCTGCTGGTGATAGCTTTCTATTTATTGTTCAGATGTGAGAGGGGCATTCGTTTTCTTCAAATAAGCTTATTTCCCAAAATGTCAAAAATGTATTTAAGTTTTTACGTATTATATTTTATAAAGTATACAGAAATCTTAATAGTAATCAGTTTGGATAACTGATATCAAGCGGCAACCCTTCAGGGCTGTAAAATTAAGCCAATACGGAAGTGCCAAAAACTGCAGTATCATTGGCCACTTGCATCTGGCTCCGAAAGCAAGTCAATCCTTATAGACCTGTGCATATATATATGCTTATGTTAAAGGTTACATATATATATATATATATATATATGCTTATGTTAAAGGTTCAGTGTGTAAGTTTTAGTGGCATCTAGTGGTGAGGGTTGCGAATTGCAACCACTGACTCCCGTTGCATTCACACACTCCTTGGATGGTCCCAGTCGAAATGTGGACACTACTACAAAGATTTGTTTTTAGTATTATCAGAGCGTATAAACAACACGCAGAGATCTAGGTCACTCTACATGCACAGCAAACTAACCGTTATAACCATATTACAAGTTACATGGTTGCAAAATATGTATATGCAATACGTGATTTTGCACGAATTAAAGTTCTGTATATAGTTCTGTATACTTTTTTATGTCCCATGTACACTTTATTTATCTTTTTTCAATAAAGATTTAAGGAGGAAAAAAAGATTCTGATTGTTTCGACACCACATGAACGCATTGCTCACCTTATATAAAGATTTAAAGTTACACTTAATTGGGGACATGGCCACTTTGAGTGAGAGGTGGGTGCTCTCAGGTGGCTAGCCACTAGGTGGTTTCAGCAACCAGGCTTCATTCAGCATGTCTCAGCTCCACTTCTGTGCCCATTTTTGGATTAGCCAGTCAAGCACTACCAAGATGGGACCTCCAGGAGCTGACCACATTGAGCTTGACAATTAGTCTATGATTGGCACCTTGTTTGTAATTCAATGACAGATATGGACAGAGATCTCTCTATATATAGAAAATGGTTGGCTTTGCATGCATATGTGTGTAAACATGTCACAGAGCCTCATAAACAAGTGTGAATGTCCATAATTGCGAACTAATGAGCGTTACCTGGTCTTTGGCCCGACTCTCTCTGTCTCGGATGTGAGAAGTTACAATTCTCTCAGTTTCCTCACGTAGCCTGGGGAAGCACTCCAGCTGAAAACACATCGCAATGCTTATAACTAATTCCAAATAATAAGCAATGTGAAATAATGACTAATAAACAACAACCTTTTGTTAAAAACGGAATTTTTCAACAGTGAGCTCAGCTTTCATTTTTCTCTCTTTTAATAATTTCTCAATTGAACTTTCTTTCATTCATCCATCATCTTATCTCCCTGCTTATCTCCTCTCTTCTTTCCTTCAAACATCAGTTACCTTGTTGGAGCACTGGCGCACGGTGTTAATTAGCTCCTGGATGACCATGTCCACACACTTGACACAGGGCTCCTTCAGCTTTATGACCTGCTTCTTCACAATGGCCTCAAACGCCATGTCTGGGGTGAAAAGTCCGGTCCTAAAACCCACCAAGAGGAAGAGAAGAATGGTACAATTGTGCTGAGAACTAGTTTAATATAAGTAGTAATATTGATTTCAATTTGACATATATCAATGATTTTGATCTGTATTGTGGTTCTACCTGTAGCTACCCCAGACTGTATACTGTATGCAGTCAATAATAAAGGGGTTTTGGAGGGAACTTAGGCTAAAATGTGATTTAAATGTCAGATTCTCTCTCGCTTGAGTGGCAATTCTTCTGGTTGTGGTGTCTAACCGCTGCTGAACCAATATAGAAACAAACTGAGAGGCTGGACTGAGCATAAAAATGAAAGAAAGAAAGACGACAAGCTCTTCTTTGTTCATAAATTCCTATCCAAACCATCTGAGTATTTTTTGGCTGTTGGAAAACCAAATTCAAAGATCTGTATTTTTTTAGTTGTTATGATGTTTTCCACATTAACATTAACATATTTGACTATCTTCAGGCTACATTTATTTATAAATTTATAATGTTAACAGATAGAAAGACGAGAGAAGCATCCTTGGTTAGAATCAAATATTTATATTAAATATATACTCAAATATTTGGTGGAATTTTGTGCCTTTTACAAATGTGCAGGGGGTGTAGAAAAAAAGCATTATTTTTGCAATCTCATATTTTAGTTTGGCCGACAAATACCTACCTGATTCCGTGGATGTTCTTTATGGCATAACTGATCTCGCGACGCATCTCTTTCTCGTCACACTCCATCTGGGGGGAACAGAGAGGAGGAGTTTACACAGTGGATACAGAGAACAGTTGTAAAAGCTGTTGAGAGAAAGCATGACAGAGATTTAAAAAAAGTTTGTTCATTTTTATAATTGCTTTTATATTAATGTATACCGTCTACTACGTAGCAGAACGGAGTTACAAACTCAATTTCACTCCACAACCTGTTGTATTGTGACAAATAAATCAACCTTGTACCTTGTATTATTAGACTACAAAAAGTGTAATTTAGTCTTATATTCAGCCTTTAATGGTCTTAAAATAATAAGAAATAAGTCATTATTTCAATTGTTCCCTGTGCAGTTTTCTTTCAGGGATTTTCTAGAGATGAGAGTCACTATCTTTAAAAAAAAAAAAGAAAAGACAAAATAAAGGATAACTCTGTGGAATTTGGGAATTTTAGAAGCCTAGGGGGCGTTTGAATTCTACAATTTAAAAAAATACACACATAGTGGAATTACAGTAGAGATTTAAAGCTTGTGTAGGCAACATTGGAGAAACATGTCCACGGGCACACTGCACACAGGTAGCCACGTAGGTACGTAGGTAGACAGGCAGGAGAATTTCAACTAAAATGCTTGTGAAATAAATTGCCTACCCTGGCTCTTACCAAACAAATATTTATTCTGGAAAACCTACAGAAACTATAATCAATGTATAGTTAAAGTTGCATAAATAAAATGTGAACATGTTAACATAAAAAGTTTGTTCATATTTTTTTTGAGATTTTTCTTTCCATATCTGGTCATAATTTTCAGAGTTTCTCATGACCAATCATGGCTACGGACATGAGACAACTGCACTAATATCAAGAGAATTACTCCCGATGTTAGGAAAAAAGTATTTTATATTTTGTATTTTAAACAGGGCAAATCATTTCAGCCGATCATTTCACTTGTTTTTTTGTAGCGCCGTCTTCTTTTATGTATAACATATCACCTTGACCAGTTCAAAGGGGAAACGCTCATGGAAGATGCGGTTGATCTTTGCTCCACCAGACAGCTCCACTGTGTCCACCTGATCTCCTGAACCTTCGATCCTTTTCTCAAAGTCCACAGAGAACTGCTGCACCATCCTGAAACAACAGTGTAAAATATATAATAAATAAAAGACCGTTAATGACTTCTGACCTCTAAAATATAAGCTGATAAGCTTTGGGCGCTATGGAAGAAGTTATTATTTTATCAGAGGTAAGACATTTTGCATGATACTTTGTAGATAATAAATCGGGTGTAAAGGCTCTTGTTGTGAGAAAATGGGGTACTGACTGCAACAGCTGCTTGGTTTTGCGGGATGGGTCATCAGGTCGGTATCCCCGGTATTCCTCAGCCTCCTTGTCCAGAGCCAACAGCTGGGACTGCAGCTTGCTGCGAAAAGCTGGCAGGGTATCCCGGATGTGGTTGGTCAATTGCTATAGAGACACAAAGCCACCAAAATGAAACAAACAGCAGTCACTTCAGAGCATCAATTACTAGATTATGGTATTGGTATTTTGGCTGTACAGAGCCATTTACCAATCAAGATCTCACTGTTAAGACATTTACACAATAACAATGCAGAGACTGTGTCTCTGTGTGGAATGCCTGCCTGAGTGAAATTATAAATTATTTGGAGCTGAACTAGAAAGAGCAAGTGCATTTTCCACCTGTGTATCACCCACACTGGTTTGTTGTTCAGTGGAAGCGGGGGGTTGGGGTGGGGGAGGTTGAACGCCCTCTCTTATTAATTATGTAAAGTGCCCTGCGAGTAAATCTATGATCACCTCGTTGAGCACTTTCTGCAGGCGTGGGGTGCCCATTTTATCAGCCATGTGCCTGTATGATGCGTGGGACAAGAAGAACTTCCTCTCAGCCTCCAAAGCCGCCTTGATATCTTTCTTGCCATCAATGTCCTTCTGACTGCGATTCACCACTCCAATGTAACCTGGGAGGGAATAAACAAGGACACAAATTGAGAGAAATAATGAATGGTAATCCCAGGAGACAAAGGCAGCAGTAGCACAAGCCAGATAAACAGAAAAACTAGCAGTGGAAGAGGGGGAAGGTAGAACAAAGACAGAGAAATTGGATACTGTGATAAAGAACACAGGGAGAGAATTTCACACCTCTTCGCAGTGGAAGCAACTTGTTCTCCAGTACATCTCGGGCATCTGTGCCCTCGTCCATTAAATCCAGTTTGGTGATTACTCCAATAGTCCTCAGACCTGGAAAGGGGGTCAAAAAGAGTGAGAAATAATGTAACTGAATTTTATGCATGCTTTTTGGAAGTTTGAATGCACTATTTTGATAGTCAGTCTATCACTGGGTCACTAAAAAAGCAACATTTACTGACACCAGCTTCTTAAATTGAAGTATTTAGAGGGGTTTATCCTTTCTTTTATCAATGTAATTCAATATGTTGGGTTTGTCTGGGATGTCCATTTTGCCCAGTTCCTAATCCAGCTATGCAAACAGCTATTCCTTCTGTTTATACTTTAATCCTTCCCTACTTCTTTCTTCTACTTCACTCGTATTCTATTTCTGCCACTTCATCCTTTCCAAGCATCTTTAACTGTTTGCATCTGTTTGTCTCCCTGTTCCCTCCTGTATTCGTCCACCTCACTCTCCTTGTCTGATATCATTCATCCCTGCCACAAAGTAACTTCATCCTCCTCTTTCTGGCTAATTGATCCTCTCCTGTGTCCTTCTGTCCTGTCTGAAGGTCAGACTCTTTGGGCATTAAATTAAGTTAATTCCTTTCTCCTTTCTTACCCTTCCTCATTATTACACTGCCAGTGTCTCTTTTTTCTTTAGCCTCACATCTCCTGTGTTTATTTAATTCTCTCTCTTTCAGATTTTCTTTTTCCTTCATCTCTTTACTCATTTATTTTTTCATGCCCTCCTTATCCTCCATTTTCCCTGTCTCTCGACCCCTCCCTGTAGGGAAATTCTGCTACATCTCTCCTACATCCCCCTTTACTCCCATTATCCTTTCCATGCCCCTTTCCTTACCCTGTGGATCAACATCCTTTGCCAGTTTAAGAGCGTCGGAATTGGCCAGGTCAGTGTTTGCCGGAGTGACGGCCAGGATCAAGCAGCTCTCTCTGGTGATGAATTGCATGATCATGTCCCTGATCTGTTGCTCGATGTCAACAGGCTGGTCTCCAACCGGCACCTTAGTGATTCCCGGCAGGTCAATGAGCGTGAGATTCAGCACTGCAGAGTCAGAGGAATGCAATAGATGAAGAAGTGGCCATACTTGTGTGACATTTCTGTGGCCTTGAATGAAATTCATGCAGTACTTTATATTAGAAAACTTTTTAACTCCGCCCAAACTTTTTAACTCCGCCCAGCATAAGCCGGGAAATGGACCCACTATCGTGTGGTCATTTGCAGACAGTTTGTGACTAGAGAGGTAACGTTACTGGTACTCTCTTCATGGATTTAGGGCAGGCTGTGAATTTTGGGCACACCAATCAAAACAACATTTCTCACTAAGTATGACTCAGTTCCCTTTGTTCGTACCAAAGAGCCGTTGAAAAGAATTGAATCGTTCACAACATCACCAGTAAGAATCACTAGGGAACTAGCCTTTCAACTGTCCATACTGTATGTATACCATATGTTTCACAGAGAGAAAAGATGTTTATTGTACATGATATCAGTCTAGCTATTAACTATCAGCTAGGTTATTCACTTCACTTCAAGTCTCTGATTTTTAAAGGACAGCATTCATTTTTACAGTACAAATTATCTAGGACATCAGTACAGCATCAGTATAGCAAATTGGAATATGCTGTTTTCAGTCATTTAACACAGAGCCTTAAAAGCACCTGTTTAGACACCTGCCTCCTTGTAACCCCTCAACAACAGTGAAATTCATTATTTCACTAGCAAAACCATATTCTTTGTTTCCAATGTTTTTAAAATCATCTTCTGCCAGCTATAGATAAAAAGAGCGAGAGTATAATGACTTACAGCTTGTCACAATCTCTTTTCATTTAAAAATATTATTATGTTCTAGTACTTGAGTGATAAGGAAACTGAGTTATGTCTTCGCACCGTGTGGGGAGTAAACCCGCAGGTTGATGGGGACAGGAGATATGCCTTTGTTGGCCCCCGTGACACGGTCCGTCTCGGCCTCGATTTCTTGGCGAACCTCATCAAAGTCTGTGAACTTCTTCCCTTTGCAATGGAGGAATTCAGCCCATTCTGAGGGGATGAAAATGAATAATATGAGATTAGTGCTGACTATGCTGAATGTGTACGGGAGGAAAATAATTCCAGTGCGAGAGGGAAAAAAGCCAGGGGGAAAAAAGCAGTAGCATTTATAAAGCAGAGGGGGAGGCTTTATTTGTCTGTCTGTGTGTGTGTGTGTGTGTGTGTGTGTGTGTGTGTGTGTGTGTGTGTGTGTGTGTGTGTGCGTGTGTGTGTGTGTGTGTGTGTGTGTGTGTGCGTCTGTGTGTGTGTTTGTGTGTGTGTCTGCATGCATGTGTGGGTGTGTAAATGTGTGTGCCCACCTGCAGTGGCACTGATGAGCTGTAGAACTAGGGGCCTGCGGGTGACAATGCCAGATCCACGTGGCAGAAAGTCCCTGAGGAAAGACAGCCAATCAAAAGTCATTATTTCAAACCATAGCCAATGTAAACATTTATCAAAGAGTATAGGCATGGCTATAGGTCACTCATCTTGTAAGATATAAGCCAGTTCAACACAGTCTGCATGGAATAGGGGCTATTTTAAAACAGAACTCCTGTAGCTTTCAGCTTCTGCTGCTGCAACAATGCAGGACAATCTGACCTGATAAACAACAGGTCAAAATCAAGAGCTGCACTGCTGACAAGGAGCTTCCTCATTTAAAAAACGATGACTTCATCATTTCCTGGATTCCACACCAACTAATTTTGTGTGTGTGTGTGTGTGTGTGTGTGTGTGCGCACCCGAGAGCATTGCACACACCTGACAACCATCACAACTACCTCCTAAGCTAAAGGTCTGTTTCAAGAAACCTTATTAACACATATTGACCCCCGGATCTCCCTCAAGTGGGATGAGTTAAAAAAGCCTAGCGCACTACTTGTCCATTCAGCGCTGTGCAAAGCCAGTTCTGGACAGACGGACCATTACTCAGCATCACGACTCTCATTGAGGGTTGGAATAGGACAGAATCAATGCATTCATCTGGAACTGTACACATGTATGTAAGAACTGCACAAGAAATTAACAATTTGGTCACACTGAAGACAATTTAGCTGATGGCATGTGACTGTGTGTTTTGTAAAACGGCAGGTTAAAGAGGTACTTCCACAAAGCTGGGGGATAGATTGAAAAAGAGTGGTCAATATTGAAGCAGCAGAGGCCGAGACGTTACGACTTTTAGTCTCTACCATGGGTCAAACTATATACACTGGATCCTACATTTCCCATAATGAAACTCAATAGCATATTTCAATAAACCATCCTTGCTTTCATCTTTAAAACTCAATACCCCTCAGTTTATAACACATATTTTCTGTCAAATATTGGGAGTCTAAAGCCTAACTAAAAAGTAAGTTACCCTGATGTCATCAGATTCATAAAGCTGGGTAATGTTGGAGAAACTAGCAGAGTGCAGTGCATGGGCAGAGTGTGCACAGGTAGGCAGGTAGGCCAGGTAATGAAATGATTGGCCTTATTATATTTCAATCCAACGAATGCCACAGACACTGAATTTTGTTGATTTTTGTGTCAGAGCATTTGATTTATTGATTGTTGTCGGGACATAAAGAGAATTTAACAACGAAAAAAGCTTCTGAATTCTTGTAAATTGCCTAGCTTTAACGTCAGTGTTTTTCTTTTGTATCCCTGTGTTTCCCTTTTTCCCCATGCTTTCTGTTTTCCACTCTCCATCTCTCTGTGTGGTGGGCATGGTACTGCTCTCTCTCTCTACTGGCTCCTGACTCATCGTTCATTCTACGCACCGGCTTCAAGCCACACACCTGCAATCTATCCACTAATCAAAGCTGAAGCATATATACCCTGGTCCTTCTTCCACTCATTCCCAGATGGTGGTAGTTCACATCCCCGGCTCCTTGTATTGTGCGTTCATGTGTTTCTGCTGTCTTGTGTTTTTTAACATTGTTCCCTTTGTGATCAGAATCAGTCTCTGCCTGCCTGCCTGCTTACCAGCAGCAGCCACACTGCCACGCTCACCTCCAGCCTTTGACTCTGCTTATCTCACATACGACCAATGCTTCCCTCATTCCCCTTGGTCTCTGTCACCTGGCTCCCTTTTCCTCTACCTCATGCAATCCCAAGAAGTCTGGTCAATTAAGCATTCTTTTCTTTAATCCGGTTCCTGTGTGTTACACAGATGTTAGAAACTCCATCCAGTGCCACAGAAGACATAATGCAGCTATAGGTGTCACATGCCGAGCAGTGCTCTCCATGACAAATAAGCTGACCTTTATGTAGGCCTGTAATATCAGTGGAGTGACCTTTAATAATATAATATATCAACTGGCGCAAACACTGGGTGGCAAAATAAATGCTACAATAAATTAATCAATATAAAGTACATTTTTCATAAAATCCTGAGATTAAGCGATTAACGAGCACTATAACTAGTCCTCAATTAAAGGGTCCTCTCTTTAAATGCAGGGGTATTCAACAGAATGGTACCATATTATTGAGCAGAAAATTTGATTTTTGCAGTAGACATCCCATTGTAACTAGGGGGCAGTCGTTGGGGATGCAGACTACACTTCTGTTTCTGATTAATTGGTGGTGATGGTACAGTGGATAAGACACATGCCTTTGGTGTGAGAGATACGGGTTCAAATCCATTGTGAGGCACCAATGTGTCCCTGAGCAAGACGCTTAACCCCTAGTTGCTCCAGAGTCATACGACCTCTGACATATATAGCAATTGTAAATTGCTTTGGACAAAAGCGTCAACTAAATGTAAATAAATGCTGCAATTGTTGTTAACAACAGAATCACATTCCTGCTTGATCCTTATCCTGAAAAAAAGATCACTTCAAGCGCAGCGGCTCATAATTTATTTGTTGAGTGACCAAAATCCAGGGCGAGATGATGAATATTCATATGTGTTTTCAGGAGTGGGAGCTGACACTGTTCCATGTACAGAATGTATAGAATGATGATTTAAAAATGAAAATGGGTACATGCAGCAATGTATCTCTGAACATGAGGCTGTCCTTTTCACATAGGGTCAACAGCATATTAATGCCATGGGAAGGGTGCTTGGAAACTGAAAAGGTGGTGGATATTTCTGTGAAGGAGCCTGTCTGCAGTTGGTACTGATGGACTGAAATCCCCAAGCTACTGCTGTAACCCAAATACTGCCATTCTCCTCTGTTAGTAGCCACAAGACAGCTGTTGTGTGTTTAAAAAATATATACTGCACAGATCATAACTGAAGGCCTCATCTCATCACAAGCAGTGACTTAAAGCTGGGGAGAGATGGTTTGAACTCAGCACAGAGAGATTGGCCCCATAGGCCTCTTATGTCATCCTCAAGGTTAACGGGAGAAGGGATTATCCTATTTCTGGTGGTCAATTTTACCTGCCTACAAAGTTCTCCAGCACGGAGCTCTTTCCTGCGCTCTGACCGCCAACCACTGCGATCTGCGGCAGGTCCAGGTTGCAGGCCTGACCGATGGAGCTGAAGGCATCCTGCAGCCTGTTGACCAGCGGGATCAGTTCCTCCATGCCACGGTTTCCCATGGTGCCTTTAGACGGAGGGACTCGGGATCAGCAGAATGGAGAGAGAGAGAGAGAGAGAGAGAGAGAGAGAGAGAGAGAGGATGTGGCGCTACTATATTAGTCCAGGATACCGCGGTGCTTGTTGATGTAGTGAAGTCATCTAGCCGCGCATTGCCCCGAGCCAAGCGAGGGTCGGACCGACTGTGGAAGCAGAGGAGAGGGTGGGAGGCGGTGATGGGGGGGTAGAGAGGTGCAGAAAAGAGAGATATTAACAGACAGGGACAGACAATTGCGCAGTTGCTTACCACAACCACCATAACATCTCTCTCTCTCTCTCTCTCTCTCTCTCTCTCTCTCTCTCTCTCTCTCTCTCTCTCTCTTGCACACACATACAAACACAGACACACACACAGGCTACACAGCGAGCAACACGAAGCCTATGGTTTCAAGGGCATTTGGTGAGTGGCGCTCCATAGGCTCCATATAGTAACATTGAACAAACCATAAAGCACACACGAATCATGCTGAATAAAGGCAAAACAAGGCATCGCTCGCTGCATGCAGATACGCGTTGATATGTGCAATAGAAAAGAGTGTCCGCAGAAAACACATCACAGTGATAAATTAATAACACATTTTACTACTGTACTGTTGTGAGCCTACCCCGCCTCAGGATTCCCTCGGTGTTTTCGGTGTCCGATGGTCCCGGTCGCTGTCCAGTGCTGAAACGACGCGCAGATCAGGCAGCAAAGACAAGCGACAAGACCCTGGACGATTATACAAGCACCACCTGCTATGGCGGTGCATCGGCTTTATCTCAAATTCCTGTGCATTAATTGTGTTCGCCTGTGGGTTTCGTTACGGTCGGCTGAATGTCAGAGTGGTCTCATCCCGAACACAAATTCGATGACAGATTAATCATTTTTTCGCCCTCTCCTCGTTCCACGGTGTAATTGCGAAGCTGCGCCTCGTTCCTACACCATATCGACGCGACGGAGGACCAATGAAAACCGCGGGATTGGAGAGGAAGGCAGAGAAACGCGGCGTCCCATTGGCTGGACAGGTACAGGTTAGGCCTACCTGAGCCCGCCCCCTGTTTACATCCGTGCCATTTCTGCCGTTGTGAGTCATGCGGCACGGCTGCGCATCGCTGCAAGAGAAGAGGTGGTTGCGCTCCTTCAGATCCCTGCAGTAGGAGCAGAAACCAGCTGTCGTAAATTACATAGCTACACTACATGGTACAGGCCATGGCAGTCATTGTATGTCGCCTTTGCTTTGTGCATGTTAAAACACTGCGGTGATGAGCAGCATAGACTACTTTATGCCAATGACATTGACATTATCGGTCCACGTTTAAAAACATAAAGGGTTTGCTTTAACTGGACAAAAAAAAAGGGTGATGGTTGGTCCCAGATTGTCGCTGCAGGCAGACGCTGGTGGAGGCGGTCATGCGGAAAGGACACTGCCATTCCGCCTTAACTTCTCGCAGGACAACTTATGTGCAAGATAACAAGTGTCTCTCCTCCACTGGACATGAACGTCGCATATCATCAAATGAGCAATTAGGAGAGGTCTAATTTACTCTCCAAGCATCTCTGCTAAGAGGTTTTAAAGGAGGTCTGATGCATCGAGGACATAACAGGCACGGCTCAGTGCGGCCCTCTCCATCTGCCTGTTACAGTAGAATCTTATCGATTGAATCAGTATTTGCCCTTTTCATTCTGGCCAGGCCTCTGAAGATAGGTCTAGTTGGCACATCATGTTGCAGTAAACTGGGATATCACTAGGTGGCAGTAACGACATAACCTCTGCGGCTCTGTGTTTGGGCCCAGATGATATGTGCCCTTATTTAAGGACGAACATGCATTTCGGGTATGACACCAGAGCTGAATCATTACAAAACATAACATACTTTTAAGTTTAAAAAAAGTCACAATCATTAGGGAAAAATCAAGTAGCTCGACCTATGTAAATTCTGCTCAGAAGTGTCTGGTGGTCTTTGTATTTCTGCTGTTTTTAGAAAACAGGAGTGGAAGTAATTGAATCTGTTGTTAGGATATTATGAAGAGTTATATTGATATAAAAACTGTCTGACTGGACCACTGTGGTTTATCTCTGGCTCAACCCCTGTGACCTTACCTGGCTGCGAAAGGATGTGTGAGCAGTAGTATCTAGTAACATTAACATCAATCCAACACCTCTCTCTTTCTCAGTCTTTGAACCATCCCTTTCATCTCTTGCCAAAGATCCTGTTTCCTGAGGTATGCGGTGACACGAGAGTTGGTCTCCAGGTCGGTATTTAAGGCTTAAAAATATAGGTGGGCCTGTTTTTAGACCTATAGCAGGGACGCCATTTAAAACGAGGCCCTGGAAGATTCACGGGCCTCCGAGCTGGACAGGATCCCCAGGTCATTCCAGTAATTATTATTATTTATTGTGTCTAAAGTGTTGCTGAGACATTTTCAGGGGGGTAAATATTCCAGGGATGCCCCTGCCACCTGCACATCTACCTGAAAGTATCTGCATTCAAGCAGTTATTTACATTTGATACAGAGAAGGCTCACTCTAGTTTGGTAGCTGACAGAAGTACAGATAATATAACAGAATAGTAGAATGGCATTGCATCCTATGTTATATACAGAAAATATAGAAATAATGCACTACACGTAATACAGTAAATAAAGCAATACAATTTTGTATCATATTGGTATTATATTATCTAATAATTTGGTCCAGATAATATATCTATTATGTAAAACACCACAACATAGTGGTGGTGGTGGAAGAAGTATTCAAATGTTTTACTTAAGTAAATGTATCAATACAAGAATGGGAAAATACTCCATTACATCCATAAGTATTGCATTGAAAATCTTACTAACTGTAAAAATACAGAAGTATTTTCAGAGAAAAGTACTTAAAGTATCAAAAATAAAGGTACTTGTTATGCAGCAAAATGGTCCGTTTCAGTGTTATTCAGTGCATTACTGTATAAGCAGCATTTTAATGAATATGTGGGTCATCTGGTCGAGGTACAACTAATTACTATAAAACTACTTTTGACTGTTGGATAGTTTAATCTGTAACAATGCATCATATTCTATGAGGAGATACTTTATAAGACAAGTACTTCAAAAATGTTTTTAAGTACAGTACGGGGGAACATGTGTACGTGTGCATAGTTACTTTCCACCAGTACACCACTACTAGCATTACAGTCTGTTTTTAATATTTTCTAATGTTTCAATTGCTTCCCAATGGCATGTAGTAGAGTTTAAGTCTATACCATGATGTTTGAGAGTGTGTGTGTGTGTGTGTGTGTGTGTGTGCATTTGTTGGTCAATGTACAGTATGTGTGTTTTCACTAAGAGACAGATGGTGGAGTGCTGATGGAAAACAAGTTATTGGCTTCAGGTCAAAGGGTGGAGAGTAATTAACATGTTGGTCTCCATGCGCCATCCATCATCGCCCTGAATCATCCATTACCCAAGCTTCATCGCAGCACTGGGTTTGGACAGGATGGCGCTGTCCACTCACCATGTTTGAGCCCACTAAATGACCTTACTGTGTCCGGTCCACACCCAACTGGTCAAGGCAGATGGCTGCCCACCTGTCTCAAGGTTTCCAACTGCTAAAAGGTTCCCTTTGTCACCAAGTTCTTGCTTGTGGTGGGAATGTTGAAATGAGATAACTTCTGTTATGAATTGGTGCTATATTAATAAAAACATTAATTGAATTCAATATTGCAAGTTTTTTCTTTTCTGCAGAGCCCAAGACAAAGTCACAGACAGTCCTGCAGGTGCAGCAGTTGAATTTGATACAGCCTTAGATGTTATGAGTTGGACAGAGAGGACCCAAACGCCTGACTTACACCACAGTGGAAAGGCCCTCTTGTTAAACTGTCACCAACAGTGGGGAAACAGTGGCCCCATTACGTAACACACACCTTTAAACAGCCGGGTCATATATTGCACAACACACACAGACGGAGCAAGAGAGCAATTTACTCAAACTGTTGAATGTGCGTATTAGAACCACTGGAATCCTGTAAACCCATACTTATAAAAACAACATGCCTGGAGGGTGATGCTCTAAAAGATATTACTGGAATTATAAAGAGCAGGGATTCAATTATTTTTATGCTATGTATTTAGATGACATAAGCAGAAGCAGACAGAGACACAAATATTAGATGTGGACAATTTTAAGGGTAAAACTCAGAGAGCATAGATATATAAAATATTTTTCTCAGCTGAACATAAATTATGTTTGTCATGTTTTGAATATTAAAACATATTTCTGCTAGTCATGATGGCAGCATAGCGATCTAAATGGCGATGTCAGCCTGTTGGTCCACCCCTTTGGTCCAGAATGAAATATCTCAACAACTATTTAATGGATTGTCATAAAAATTGGTATCCCTCAAGAATCGCAATAACTTCGGTGATCTGCTGACTTTTCATTTCACACTACCATCAAGTAAAAATGTTGGTTTATGACCAAAAACATTGACATGACATGATCCCATCAGCCTCAGCTACATTTGTGTTTAGTGCTAATTAGCTCATGTTAGCATGCTAACATGCTAAAGTAAGATCTGAACATGGCCTATTTATACCTGCTAAACATCAGCATGTGGGTTTTGTCATTGTGAGCAAGATAGCATGTGTTAGCCTACCTCAGTACAGACTCTCAGAGCAGCTATAGAGTCTTTGTTTTGTTACAATGCAAATTACCTGTCAAACACTGTAATAAGTGCCGTGACTTTTTCTTACTTGATTTTTCTGTGTGGATGAAGATTCTGTGGTTGATGTTGATTTATTTGTCATTTGTTTATCACTACTAAACCAGCAAGTTTAGCTATTTACATATTTATATAATCCGCAATATAATGCACACTTAAAACTGCTACATCCTGGAAGACAGTGAATCTTCACTAGTGCTCTCATGCTGCGCTACAGACGTAACTGGAAGCTCCAACCAAAAACAAAAATCAAAATGAACATGTTATATCTTGTTTGTTCAATCCATGTAAAAACTAAAGGGTAAAAATGACAGGTTACAATTTTAAAGGGGTAATGTGCTGGTTTTTGTAAAGTTATAACATCTAAAGTAGTGAGCTTAAGAGGTGCTGGTATTCAGATTTTGTTAACTTTGGACAGAGCCAGCTGTTTCTCCATTTACAGTCTTTATGCAAAGCTATGCTGTCTCACAGTTGAAGATTCAAAGACGAGAGTAGTATCAATTTTATCATCTAAATCTTGCCAAGAAAGTGTATCTCCCAAAATCTCAAACTGTTCCTTTAAAATCCTGTCCTTCTGCACATCCTATTAAATCAAGCTGATTTCCACTCCACAGCTAATTAATTTCTTTATGCTCAAGACTTGACCCCACATCAACATCCTGGAAATAAATCAGATTAAGGAAGTAATGATACCATTTAATGAGTCCTTTAAGAACCACATCACTTCCTGTGAGGCAGAGGACTCCTTGGAAATACCTATAGTAGACACTAAGTGTTAAATAGGTTGTGTCACTACTGTGCTATGTCAGTTGCATCTCATCTGTTTGTATGGGCGAGTGTCTGTGTTTTCACAAATGACACTCTGGTGCTATGTCTCTATCAGTCATAAGAACCTCTGGTGTAACACCTGTACTGAGCTGTTAAAGACCAAACAACATCTATGGTGCTGCTGTGAGACTGTGAGGTTTCGTGTGTGTAGGTATATGATTCACTGTGATTATACCCTCACAGCCACAGCAGGCAGCAACATTATGTAGTAATTCTTTCTTGAAATAACAGCTTCAGAATTATTTTGATGGTACACTGACGTATAATAGGATGAATGGCATCTCTGTCATTGCCACTCCGGGCCTACAGGCATGTAATGATTTTGCACCACATCACACTAACAAAACTCTTCAGCAAGCTAAATAAGAAGAAGCAAAATGTATATAAGGTACAATGTAAGTTCTTTGTAAGTTCTTTCTCAGTATGGATAACATGGCAGAGGCTGCGAAGAGACTGAAGAAGATGTTGTCAGAGGAAGTGATGAAGACAAAAAGAGAGAGTGATGAGTAAGAGATCAGAGAATCATAAATATCGAACAGAGGTTTGGCTGCTAGCTATAAATTTCGAGTTGATGTTAGCAAACTTTCTAAAGAACACACTAGGACATCA